TGCACCCTGCTCTGGGTGAGCCTGCTTGAGCAGGGGGGTTGGGCTGGATGATCTCCAGAGGGCCCTGCCAGCCCCTGCCGTGCTGGGATTCTGTAAGTCTGTGAAGCATCAGTAGTCCTCCAGTTTAAAAGCTGAGAGACATGGGGAGAAATCACATTTTAAAGTCCTTTTCAGACCTCTTCTGTACAGTTCTGTAACAAGGATTTATTGTGCCATTCTGAAAACACGTAAGTCCAAACTCCTCTAACTTAAGAGCTTGCTGCTGTGGTGTCCCTAAAAAGTGCAGAGCACGCTTCTGTTGTATTTCTGGACAGAAAAAAAGCACCCAGCCAGCAAGGAAAAAAAACAAACAAAAAACCACAACAGTATCAAGTCTACAAACCACATACTGTCATTAAAACTATAGGATCCAATTTTTAAGGGTCTTACTGGTGTTCATTCCTGAACCCTCAGGGTTACCAGAAGTGACATTTCCACTCACAAAAAGCCTACCTATACCGAGGACTACTTCAGGGATTTTTTTTTCTCCCCACTCTGAAAGCTGCATAAAATGTTGACAAATGAGCTTGGATTTGGCAAATCTGCTTGGATTTTGCACCCAGCAGTCGAGAAGTAAAAATGTTCTTAAAAATGCTGGCGAACACATTTGGATAGTCACCACAGCCAGCCCAGAGGCTAAAGAACTCATGATTTTGGTTATAAATGAACTAGATCTCAAAGCCACCGTCTCCTTAAAATAAACCTTCCAATTCAGAAATGCTTCTCATCACAGATGGAGCTGAACTCACTTCCCTTGCAGCGGAGGCGCTGAACACAGCCTCAACACGCTACACAAAGTCTGCACTACAGCGCCCGGAGCAGCAGGGTACAAATACAGCTGGCCAGCTCCCACCCGCTACCCACCACCCCTCAGCAGAGCTGAGGTAACACGGAAGCACCTACACCCATCTCGAGTTTCATAAACATGCAAGTTATAAAATCAAGAGCGTATTGACTGGTTGGCAGAGTCTCTCCCACGACTTGAGCAAAGAGCAGTTGCCCACCTGGGCTAAGTCAGACAGGAGCCACTTCTGCACTGGTATGACTGCACGAACATAGCTCACAACTGCACTACCTGTAAGAGAAGGGGAACGATACAAGCAGGACTGCATTACCTGTCATGGCTACGGTTTCATAGAGACCTGCGCTTTCTGATCTATGGCTAATTTTTCTGCTGCGGGGCAATTAACAACAGACATTTGATACTATGAGCATCCCCTTACAAAATATTTATTCAACATAAAAATCCAGAAACAGACAATAGACAAAAGCTTCATGAAAATGCTATTATGTGCCATTAAGTCATTAAGTGCAGCAGTGTTTGATCTTGTGTGTACTGGAAATACTTCGTCTGGCACAGCTTCCCATTAGTCTCCTGCAGCAGGACAGCTGGCCCCATGCAGGGGAGACACCAAGGTGCTGTGAAGCCACCACGTTGTCCCCTCTCACCACCGCCAGAGGCACAGCTTTCACTCCCCTGGCCAAGGAATGGCCACGCACCCGTTGTACTCGAGGTTCCCAGTTTGAAGTATGCAATATCCAGGTGCATCTGCACGTCCAGTAACAACTCCTTCAAGATTTGGATCCTGCTGTCACCTCCCAGTGATTCCCATAGCCGAGGAAGCGCTCAGTGTCACTATGGTCTGGGTCCCCCACTTGGGTACTCTGGAAGGCCCACCTTCTGCAGGTGCTTAGAAGCACCCATAAGATGTCCAATACCTGCTTCCAAAGGACAACCATCCTGATGGCTGCAGGAGTTAAGCTCTGCAGAGAGAACCAACTGCCTTCTGTCCAACCCAGCAGGCCCTCAGATGAGCCAGGCATAAGGGCATGCACGTGGGATGATGACCACTGTTCCGCTCAGCAAGTTCAAACTCCAGCCACTCCCACCGGCAAGAAGAGCATTTACCAGGATCGTTTCACTAGGATCATTTAGATGGGTCAGAAGGAAAGAAACTCAGTTGGTCTGCTCTGTCCCTTCCACCAACCAAATTTAGTAATCAGAAGAATTTCTCATGGAAAAACAGGTGGCTCAGAGGTTGACAGCAGGGGAGAGTTTCCATTGAAGTTGCTGCTTCTGATCCGGTCCAGACTCTTAGTTGCCTTCCATTGCCTCCTCCGTAAAACAAGCAGAGGAGCTTAACACCTGTCACAGAGACGTACCCATCGCAAAAGCCCCTCATATCAAATGAGAACATTCTCTGCACTGTGCAGCACTGAGCACGCAAGGGCCAAAAAGGAGAGGACGAGGCAGCATGTGGGATCTGCACAGCCACTTCGCTTGCTACCTGGGTTAGAGGAGGTGGGGCACAAACACTGCGTGCAAAAGTCAGCAAGGAAAACATTCCTGCATCGCATATTGTACCTGTTCCACCTCAGTGTACAAGAAACAGGAAAAATTCAGTGTGGTTTGTATGTTTTTTTTCCCACACCATTGGGGCTCTCCGAAGAACAGGGAACCTGGGAACAGCTGTTCCCAGCTGTTCCCAGGAGGCTGGAATGGGGAGAGTAAGATGAAATACAAAGAACTGCACTTTTTTCCAAACAGATCTGGTATTTTAAATATTAATTTAGAAAATAAAGAATAATAAATATTGATTACCTCTTTAGAAATTCCTCTCATACCCTTTCAGCCACCCAGCAAGCACTTTTAACCACAAACCCTCGGGAGCACTGACTTAAGCTGTAAAGCCATCTAAGGATGCGATGCGAGCTGGTTCTTTACACTCTTGGCGCCTGCATTTAACATTAGCACTGATCTAATCCGAAGATGTTACAGAGAAGAATTCCCATTAATGGATGGGGAGCCTTGTCCTTCTCCAAAGCTGATTCATACTTCTCTTCTTTGACAGACGGACTGTAAACCTCCCGGTGTCCCCCGCTGCAGCTGCACACTCCTCAGGCTTTTAACCATCAATGTCTGCGAACTTTCTTTTCCCATAATTTTGGACCAGACTGGAAGCTGTGATTTGGGAAGCCTGTCCCTTTTCCCAGGACTGGAAGTCATTCAGCCCTTTCTGGCCAGCCCGAAATAAGGCTCGCTCCAACTCATCCAGCCGAGCCATCAGCACTGATGTGTCTTCGTTGTAAGCATTCTGAGAGGAGTCCATGATCCGACGAAAACGGCTTATAAATGTCTGAAGAAGATAAGCAGAGTTACTGACAGGTAAAGCAGCTCCAATGCTGGGGCCTGAGCCTTCAAGACTGAACAGCCAAAGGTGGGGGCTCTCGTTCACTGTGCACTGAGGTCCTGCAAACAGCGCAGCGCCCATTAACTTTGGGTACAAAGAGAAACCATCTCCCGCTCGAGCTGGCAGAGCAAGCGCCTGGACGGGAAGCAAGCATGGAATTAGGTTTTGGCTGCTTCCTAAAGTCAGGCTTGAGTAGATCACAGGGCCTAACGCAATGGCCATCCATTCCACTTCACATCACAAGCGGCTGCTGCTTTGGAGCAGGCGGAATGGATCTCACGCCGCACCAGCTGCTGTAGGAGCGTGCAAGCTGGAACTTGTGAAGGGCCTGGAAGCCAAGCCAAGCTGGCATGTAAAGCACTCACTGTGCTGAAAAAACACTTAGCCATGAAAAAAGTCAACAACTAATAAAGAACACTTTAAAAAGCTAGGCAACAAGATGTGTTTAAGGATTTTTATTTCCCTCCTTATCTTTGCCTTTGGGAATAAAAACAACAAAAGGGTCAAAACTCTTTGAGAGCTGAGCTTTGTTATTTCAGAAGCTGATTTTACAATCATCAAACTGTAGTATTTTAGAGGTTTACTTAGAGAATTAATATATTTAATATTAGTAACTCTCATTTTGGCTTTGTCACCAGATCATTACACTTCACACTTACAGGTCCTGACTATTTGGGAGGGGGTTTTTTGGTGGTTTATTTTTTAAGTCAGCACAGTTCCCCTCGTTTGTTCTAAATAAAGAGAAAGCATACCTTGCTTGCTTTGATTTGTCTGTCGACAAGTGACATTGTCATGGTTTAACCCTGGCTGGCAACTCAGTACCACGCAGCCACTCGCTCACTCCCACCACAATGGGATGGGGGAGAAAATCAGAAAGTGAGAAAACTGGTGGGTTGAGATAAAGACAGTTTAATAGGGAAAGCAAAAGTCATGCACGCAAGCAAAGCAAAGCAAGGAATTAATTCACCACTTCCCATGTCAGGCGGGTGCCCAGCCATCCCCAGGAAAGCAGGGCTCCATCACACGTAACAGTGACTTGGGAAGACAAACGCCATTGCTCCCTTCCTCCTTCTTCCCCCATCTCTATACACTGGGCATGACATCATATGGTATGGAATAGCCCTGTGGCCAGTTGGGGTCAGCTGTCCCAGCTGTGTCCCCTCCCAGCTCCTTGTGCCCCTGGCAGAGCTGAGAGCTGAGAAGCCCTTGGCCAATCTAAGCGCTACCTGCAACAACTGGGTTAGTTAGTGTGTTATCAGCATTCTTCTAGTACTAAATCCAAAACACAGCACTGTATCAGCCACTAGGAAGAAAATTAACTCTGTCCCAGGCAAAACCAGGACAGATGTGTGCTAATGTGC